GAATGGGAAGTTAATTATAAATTAGACTTGAAAAACAAACATTTCTGGATTTTTTTCTGTCAGAATTGTTCTTGTAGCTTAAGTTGGACCTTACCATAACTTGATCAGGAGTCCCTTCTATGTTCTAACTGTGTATTTAACATAGAAATGCATCAAGGCATTCCTCATTTGAGTTGTTTTTGATTATTTTGCTTTGATAGTTTGACCATAAGTGTTATTATGATACTGTGTGTTTGGTGGAGTTTACTGAAGGCCATTTACAATCACGAGTACTGCCCCCCAGTGGTCACATGGATGAACTGCAACACTATGTTAAATCTGTGGCTACTAAACTTGGTATTAATAGTAAAATGTAAAGCTCATCAGTATTTTTAGTGTTGATAACCAAGTTATTTAACAGCTGTTTTAGTAAAGGCGTCTACCTGGCAGCTATGTTCATATCAGCATGAAAAGCAGACATGCGAGCTCCAATATTTTTATATAAAATTACAAATATATAATTATAAAATAACCAAATTGAAGCAATCAGAAGCAAACTAACAGACCTTATCAATAACTACTGTGTTCTTTGGTCTCACATACACCACACAAAGATATTTCAAGTTAAACTAACAGTGTCTGTCAGGTATCAGGGAATCACATAACACCCTCTAGTGGTCAAAATGAGGAACTGCAACACATCTGTCCAGCTAATGTCGTTATGACCACACACCTCCACTTCTGGGACATACTTTCAAAATGAAGACAACAAAGTGAAACAAACTAAATATAAATCAAGCACGGAAAGAATAAATGTCCTCAAATAACTTGATTGTCATGTTGGCGACATGTTTGATTTCAGTGCTGGCTGCAGATAATTATTATGTGCACATCTAAAACTAAACACAATCTAAAATTCCCTCTCGATCTTCCCCCATGCATTGAATTTTATGTTGTGTTTATAATGTGAACTGACAAATTCGTATCATCTTGGTTGAAATGGCAAAAACGTTTAAAACTTAAATTAGTATTTCTAAATTTCTAAATGTCTCTGCGGAGTTGGCACATCCCATTGGACTATGAGGAGAGACAGGCCTGTGACCTCTGCTAGCTTCCTTCCAGCTGGAAGGATCAGAAGCAGGTCCACTAATCCTTGGTTGGCTGTCTGTCACAAACCAATGCAAGCTACTGTCCAGGTTAGTTGTAGACCCTGTATTTTTACTGGAAAATGGTGCTTAGTTCAGCCTTTAAAATGAGCCAGTAAAATGCAGATGAATCCCCTGAATCCCCTGAAGACGCGAGCAGCTCGAGGAAGGACGGCGTGAGGATGACTGTGAGAAGGAGGCGAAGCTGTACTCACTGTCCATGTGTGGGCTGGGAGTGGTTTCTTTGTAGTGGACTGCTCCCTGGGCCTCCACTGGCCTCTGACCGGGCACCTGCTCCTGCTGCACCACCTCCTGCCAGGCTGAAAACACAACAACTCAGTCAGTACTACTAATACTTCTAAGCTCCTATACTGTTTGAAGAGCTGCAATGATTAAGTCGATCAACAGAAATTTAACTGCCAAGTATTTTGATAATCAAATAATCAACAAAGTCATTTTTGTTTGCTCCAACTTCTGAAAAGTGATCATTTACATTTTTCTGGTCTTGTTATTACAGTTAAATAATTATATTTGGGCTCTGCACTGCAAGAGAAACCCTCATTATGTAGGAAATTGTGACAGGAATTGTTTTTTGTTGTTTTATAGACCATTAATCAACTCATCGATTAATCAGAAGAAGCAGATTACGCAATGACTACTGAATCTAAAATAATCTGTAACTGCAGCTTTAACTGTATGTCGATAATTTGTTTTATTACACCTCTGATTAACTATCAGTCTGTACACTTCAACAACGTTGGATGTGTGGTGGTGCAGGCTCCTTGTACTGTAATATAATGAAATAATAAATAATGATAATCTGGACCCAAGGACGTGGTATTAAGAATGTAATTAGTAGGGTAATAACAAACGTCCTTGTCTGTCCCAGTTGTGCACCCCGGCGTCACACCCACAATGTCAAACAAGTAAAGTCCACAAGGGCAACTGCTTCAAAAGGCCAGCCACTCTTGGCAAACGTTTGTATTTTAAATAATGCGGCATGTGAACTGCGTGCGTGTGTGTGCGTGTGTGTGTGTGTGTGTGTGTGTGTGTGTGTGTGTGTGTGTGTGTATTGATGTTATCTCTGGGAGCTGCCTCCAGGTCATGCTTTTCCAAAAACTCTAATGGATACGCCTGTGTATATCGTGCACTGGGGTATTTCAGACAGTGAAAGAGAATGAATAAACCCTTAGCAGCACTCTTTCCCAACAGAGGGGGGAGGGTTGGGCCTCCTTTGTGTCCTTGTCCACTCTACGACAAGGTCACTGGAGTTGTTTATGAGCCGCTGTGGCCCGAGCTTCAACGGCAAGCAACCAACAAGACACAGAAAGTGCGACCAAGCGAGCCAAACGAAGACTGAATGAGAGAGTGAGTGTTATAAAAGAAACTTCCAAACTGGGTCAGCGGAGTTTCACCAGGATCCCGACAAAACCCTGTCAGGAGTTCTGTTGGCTTTCCCCCCAAAGCTCATTTAACGGGGCTCCAAAAAGCCTTCAGCGTGGGTCACAAGGGGCATGTTATGTGGGTGTGAGAGCGTTTTTCTCTGCTAGGTGGCTATCAGTATCAGAGCAGCTGTGTGGGTGAGGTCTGGCAGGCGTGGTGGTGGTGGTGGTGGTGTGTGTGTGTGTGTGTGTGTGTGGGGGGGGGAGGCTGGTTAGTAGTTTTTAAATAAACTCTTGATAGTGAAACAATGTCATTCACAAAACAGCTGGCGAGGGATGGGTGTCCGGATACAGCGAGACAATGAAAAGTGTTGTTTAATCCTCTCGCATTTCCAGTCAGACCGTCTGATCGTTTTCCCCTTACCGTCATAGAGAAATCTGGCGTTTTCTTCGTGCGCGGCCGTGGAGCTCTCTTCCTGCTGGTTGTCTGCCGGGACAGCCGGAGCTGGGTGATGATACTTCTTGCCGTTCAGACGGTTGAAAACTATCTTGGGTGCGGGGAGGCTGGGTGGTGTAAGAAGAAGAAGAAAATAAGAAACAGCATGTCACAAACAGTCTGATGTTTTAAACTCTCCAATAGGGAGTTTCTCAAAGTATGAGTGTTTGGGCCTAAAATCCAAGCGAGGTCGGTTGTTGTAGGATTGCAACAGCTGAATGAAGGAACATGTGCCACCTCGCCTTCCCACAAGGTCACAGCTGGTTCAGAGGCGTGAAAAACAGCCCAGCAGGCAGACCGAGGCCTTTGGGGGAAGCCGCAATGTGAAGGTGTGTTATAAATCATCCCGTCTCAAGCTGATGACGTCAGGAGTGGTGCCAGGACCCCCCTTCATTACACTGACACACACTTTAACTGACCCAATTCATCTAACACATGAGACTGATCTCTGCAAAAAATATAAAAAAGTAGATATCTTTTTGAGATTGTTATTAGGGGACACACATGAAAAAGCACCACACACACACACACACACACACACACCACACACAAACAAAGGGGGGCACTGTGGGTGGTTGGTCATTACAAGGAGGTGTCTCTCCAAAGGTTGCACACTTACCCAGGCATACTCCAGGAGGTTTGCTTGTGCTTGAAGTCGTTTATTTTGTTGTCAAGCTGCTGAGTGGGGCCTAAGAATAAGAGAGAAATTCACATTCTATTTAAAAAAAATAAATAAATAAATAAACACAAGCTGAACATCTGGTTGGATCTGTGTGTGTGTGTGTGTGTGTGTGTGTGTGTGTGTAACCTCACCTGTCCGTCGCTGGGTGACCAGTTTGCTGGGGCCTCTTGTAATTGTGTACATCATGCAAAAAAAAAAAAAAAAAAAAAAGTCACCTGTAAACTTGTGAGTTTGGCACTTTTTGAGGGTTTAGTCCAGACCGGTCCAGGTGGAGCGGGCCTACTTGGAAAAGGCACTTTAAATTAAGCACGCTCCTCCGGGATTTTGTCGACGTATATATATATTTTAAAAAAAAAAGATGCGATGTGAGGGGAAGTCAGTCGCGTCCTCAGACGATCGGACTGGATTTCACTCACAGGGAGTCAGTTCGAAGCCAACGCAGATCCTCGGAGCTGACATGAGACCAGGCAGGCTGTTTGGTAACCTCTCAGAGAGCACAACCTCCTCTCCGCGTAAAGCCAGCAGCCGGGGCGCATCTCCCCACCACCCTCTCCTCTTTTCACCTGCCCTTTCCGTTCCCCCCACCCCCCAAAAGTCCACACACTTAACGTAAGTCACTTTGGTGTTGAGGTGTCCTGCACTGCCACAATGTCACATAACCTGTAAAAGCGGCTGTCATTCATAAGACACTGCACGCACACCACTTCTCGACGTCCCGACACGCCTCCCTCGGCGCTTTAAAGAGACAGTGTCCCGGGACTGGAACAAATCTGTGACAAAGGAGGACTTCAAGGGGGGGGGCACTGGAGACTGAGACCGCCGGAATGTGAAGGAATTGCGTGATTACACAATTTTTTTATTCCCTAAAAAAATTTGAATTCTCTTCTAAAACTAGAAACCAGGCGAATCATTTTAGAAATGATCAGTGAAGTTATGATCTGTTTGACTGTTATTGTTTAATGCAGCCAGAAAATAAACAAATAAAAACTGTCAGATGAGTTCAACTTGTAGAATGAGAATCTTTTTAATGGGGGTCTTTTGTCTGCTACTCCACGTGGCCCCTATCTGCCCAACGTCTCTGTTTACAGCACACACACACACACACACACACACACACACAGGTGAGGTCAGGTGTACACACACACACACACACACACACACACACACACACACACACACACACACACACACACACACATGTTTACAATGCAACTCAAGCATACCTATATACAAGATAAGAAAATTAAAGTATGGGTTGACAAAGACACCCATTTGACCATTAAATGGAAAACACAAAGAAAACTCATCCGCTGTACTACTGTTTAAAAATTTATTTATTTAAGATTTTCACTTAAAAGGCATTATTGACTTACATCAGTTTAGCAAACTGGATTTACATTCAGAGTTATTTCAACCTATTAGGACGAGTTTATTAAGTTTTATTAGATTATAAGACATTCTTCACACTACAGGAAATAAAAGGCAAGAGAAATGTTGTTGAAACCAGTTGTTGGTAACAAGTTTTCACCAAGATGAGGTTGTTGACATTTTGTCTACAAGAACTCCTTAAATACCTTAAAAAAAAACTCCCATGTTTCTGGGACTAATTCACATCCTACACTTACAGACAGGCTTCTTAAAGCTGATTCTTATATTCTTTACAGCTAATTATCTTTAAACGCGACCATATTCAGGCAACACTGTTAAATTTAATTAAAATGAAGAGAATTTGTATTTTTCTGTACAAATCATATTCCTAGCAGCGTGGATAATTATTTAAAGCAGCATTAGACCATCATGTGGTGAGATAGACAAACTACAACTGAAAGATTAAATGAATAAAAGTCATGTGAAGAAATTAAAGTGTACAGGTTTCATAGTATCTAGTCAAACATTTCTTAGGCGGATGGGAATTTGGATTATTTTGTTTTACAAATATGGCTACAAAAAACAAAAACAAAACAAAAAAAGAATCGTCTTTCTCTAATAATGAGGGTGTTCAAGAAGTGTAAAGCCTTGAACTACACACGCCTCCACTCAGGTTCAACGGTGCATTTACTTTCCCTCAGGAATGAAATCCTTTGGAGGATACAATCAGATATTATCATTTTAGCGTTGAGTCAGTCAAAGTTTTAATGTCTTAAGGTTTGTGCAACTTAACGACAGAAGGCAAGTTTCTCCACAATCAAGTATCAGCACGTCAAGTTGCAGAATATCAACTAGAGATCCTCTAGAGCCCATTATTAAATAAATATTAAGATAGCAGGCATTGATATGACGCCAGTATGTCTAATGTTACAAGTATATACACTGATGTCTCTTTAAAGGTACATCAAAGCCTCTGAAAGATCAGCACAGAAGGTAGAAAAGATCTTTAAGGTGGTGTAATCCTAATCCCTGGTCCAGGAGAGGTGGAGGTATTGCTGCTGGTAGTAGGATAAGACAAGGAAGTATACAGTTGAGTCTTCATGGTTTAATGTGTCTGTAAATTTAAAAGGGAATTTACCTGTATGCCAGCTACAGGTAGTTATGTGTTCTTACCTCTATAATATATGTATTTCTATAAAGCATGAGTTGTTTGATTGCCACTACAGAGCTAGTTAGCACCACATTTCTGGCTTCCTTCCACCTTATAATTCACTTTATCTACATATTTCAGTATGTATGTTCTGTGAAAAGACAAGAAACTTGTAGTAAAATGGAAAGTAAAATGTAGTAATTATGGTTATTATGTCATATCTTGTCTAACATAGGAGTTTCTAGCTACTAATTTGTTCGATAAGAAGCTGTAAAATGTCATCTTGTGTGTGTGTGTTGTGATCATTCAGTAATAAGCATCACAATCTTCCAGCAGACTGTCGGTGATGTAGCCAATCTTCAGCAGGTTTTGGTAGTAGTCTTTCTCCACAGCGTTGTTCACAGTCCAGCCCACCACCTCCACACCTCGCTCTGCCCAGTACTGGACATAGTCCCTGAGTGAAAGGTGGAAGAAAAAAACAGTAAATCTCAGTGTAATAATAATAATAATAATAATAATAAGAAGAAGACCTACAGCCAGACAAATGTTTTTAGTCCCAGACAAAAATATTAAAGTGATTATGACTAAGGAAGTGGTTCATCATTGTTTTGAAATTTCAAATCCACTTCATCAGACTCTTTTTGAGTCTCTTACTGAATCTTATTAAGTTAACTAATAACATTTGCAACTAACTAAAAGGCTACAATAATTCAAAGATATCAGATCACCTTCTGTTGGCTAAGAAGGCAGAAACACTGCAGCTTTTATGGGCAGTTTAATTAATGTTCACAATCTGTACAGACAAAGTTGTTTATTTTCGCAGAGACAACCCACGATTAAAAGTAACTGCACCAGAGTTAGCTAACAGCTCATTGGCATCTGCTGTCTCTGAGCAGGCAGACAAACAATGCACGACATTCATGGTTTTTGCATTAATTTTCATGGCCAGGATAATAATAAAATGTTCAGCCTATTTAAAGGTCCAGTGTGTAACATTCAAGAGGATCCTTTGGCAGAAATGGAATATAACATTCATAGATAGGTTTAGGTATGTAAGCAGCCACCACAGTTTCTCCTACACGCTTGAGTCGAGGTGGTTCAGCCGGTTGCAACCAGCAATCTCACCTAAACTTTACGAAACTAAACTAAAACTAAAGGGCACTGTTTTCGTTTTTTGTGTGTTTTGCTACCAACTACACCGCTTGATGCCACTAAATCCTACACACTGGAGTTTTAAGTTTTCATTCATCATTTCCTATATGCCTCAGCAGACGTCAAGCTATTGATCATGACTGATTTCTGTCATCAATAAAAAGGACAATCTGTTGGAGATTATTTTGCATAGAAATAATCTCAATTGGTGGGTCTTTAAATGAAACACATCCTACCTTTTGAGTGCAGAGTATGTAGCCTATGTACTGTTGCGGGCAAGAAAAGTTACCTCTCACCATCTCTTAAACCAAATCTCAATGATAAAACAGGTTGAATTTCACCTACAGTGAGATGAAGTCTTTCTGCACGAGGATGGCAGAGACTCCGCAGAGTTTCCACAGTATGTGGTGGTGGGCCCAGTCCAACAAGACGTCCAGAAGCCCCGTCCACATCTGGCCCCATGCAGACAGGGCCTTAGGAGTGCCATCGCTAAAGCGGCTCAGTCTCCAGGGTCGGTGGGTGAGAGCCGTGACTACGTTGGGGTCAGTCTGACGCATCTGGGGACCAGAAGAGGTCAGAGGTCAACAGATTGCTGTCAGTATTAAAAGGTTCTAGCTCTTCAATCAGAAATCATATTCAGTCATATATTTCTTGTTACCTTGTAGATGACTTTGGGTTCAAAGGAGGAAACAATGCTGGAATTGTAAAGGACGGGGAACTTCCTATACATCTCGTGAAGCACTGATACAGCCTGGACAAGTTAAAAACATATTAATATTCCATAAAAACAGGAAGAAGAATAGAATATTATTTAAATATCTAATAGTAAACCGACTTATTTAAAGAGATTACTGAAATGGAGGCCTTGCACAAGGATCAAAGTTGGGGTCAAAGGAAGGAGGTAACATCATTATTCCAAATATGCATGTATCCATATATCTGTCTTTTTGTCCGTCAGGTTAGGTCCTTCTATTCAGTACCTTATCAGGTTGACCTTTGACATCAAAGAAGATGGTCAGTTGGTGTCTGATGCATTCCTCCACTGCCTCCTGCAGAGTTGGGACCTTCTCTCCACTGAATTTGTCCCTGCCGACAAAAAAAAACAAACAACCAACACAGCAGGTTTTTAAGGCAAAACTGAACTAACGCTCCTGCTGTATCACACTTTCCATGTCTGCTTTATTTCAAATCTTTAAAATGTGTGATAAAAGTGAGTCAGAGAGATACTTTTAAATGGTGACATATTTTTGAAGGGCAAGGGATCACTCATATGAAAACTATATTTCTGCAACACAGACTTTTTAGAATGAAAACCTTAATTTGCAATCTAGAATGTCTTATTTCACGTATACACTGCTCTTAGCTTGTTATCCAAGCATTGAATCACAAGCTTAGACTAGCTAAAAAAGAGTGTTTGATAGAAAGCATACTTCAGCCTGTGTTGAACAGCAGCATCAAGTCTCCTAAGTTGGACAAACTGCAGTTTGTTAACTGGTCCAGAGCCATTGGTGGTGCGGTCCAGAGTCTCATCATGCATCAGTACGGGCACTCCGTCGGCCGTGAAGCTCAGGTCCAACTCCACTCCAGTAGCCCCGTTCCTACTGGCCTATAAGCAGATCACAAGGGGGAAAATAAGACAAAATGTACTGACAGATAATACAACATTTTTGGCTTGGGGTTTCAAACAACAGGAAACAATGAACCTACATAAGTAAGAAAGTGTGGCATAGTGAGTCATTGCTATTATTAAACAGTATCGATATATTCTCAGTTTCTGTGGGCAGTGTGAATGTTCTCCAGTTCTACCGACACATGCCAGATGAAGAGGGTAGAGACAACCAGTGCATTGAAATGTTTGTTTGTAGGACACAGAGTTAACAGTTCACATTTAAAGGGTGTCTGCTCCGGTTTTAGGCAAAGACAACAACAGATAGTTTAACTCATGAGGAGAAAACACCCCCGTAATGTATGTTTGAGCCCAACTCTTTCTAACCCTTGTCTTTTATAGTAAATCATCAGAAGAATTTTAACTAATTTCCTTATTTGGTAGAGGACCTGTGTTGGAGTTTTGATCAAAAGCAGGATGCTGTCCTACAATATCAGGTTATGGTTAGATAAATAAATAGATTATTTTTTTTTTTTACTTTTTACTCCACTAATAGATGCAGTGATATAGAAAGTATTTACAATTGGCTCCACATTGATGAACTAAAAGATTAAAATCCTCTTATGTGTATTCATTAGTGATTAAAAAAAATAGTACTTTTACTTTTGATATACTGTGTTTTTGTAGTTCTGTACTTTTATTAACATTTAGAGTACAGGACTTTTACTTGTAACTGAGTATTTATAGACCACGGTATTTCTACTTTAAATTAAAGGAAAGCTTGATAGCAAAGACACCTAGAGGGGGACACTGTATTTGACGCCAGCAGACCATAAAATCCGCCACATCTTGCACAGATATTGGTTTTGGTCAATGACAGTTTGATCAGACATGCAGTGGAGAAAAATGTGTGTGATCCAGTGTCTGAAAACATCTACAGTCTTGCAATAAAAAAAACAAAAAAAAACTTGTACAGTCTAAATTTGCGTGTCAGGAGGATGAACAGAACTGTCACTGGAACATTTAAATGTTCTTTTTGACGCATATGATGCAAACAGATGTAGGTGTGATCCAGAAATACTTGTCCATGGGTTGGTAATATCAAAAACAAGGTTCAGTGACAGCAACCAAAGCTCTTGCCAGCACCATCATGAATAGGATGTCATTGACACCAAAAACAGCTGTTTCAGCTCTGTTTAAAAAAGGAAGAGCAGAATTTACTATGTTATCTTTTGCACCAAATACAATAGCTGCCTGACTAGGGGAGGTTAAAAAAAAAGATTCACAAATAAAATAAACTTTTCCAGATGTGAAGGAACTGGACAGGTGAGAGGTAGGATATCAGGAGTTCTGGTATAGGATGATAACTGCATGTGGGACTACTGCATGAGACACAGCTGACTCAGCACCTTCAGTATGAGGGGGAAAAAAGTCAGGGAAGAAAGGATTTTAAAAGGCTGTGAGTTATTGTCGACATCATCATGGCGTCAGTTTATAAGTGGTTCATATTCAAGGCCAAGGAGAACAATGAAGCTCTTAGCATCTCTGGCATAAGCCACTACTGGCCTAAGCCATCAATAGGCTACTCATTATCATACATGACATTTTTACTATAGCCTAATCCTTTTAGGACTCCCTATGACCTGCAGTGCCCTACATTATAACATTAACGTTGTAATAATAATAATTCTTATTTTATTTTGCAGTATGTCTGTAGCCTACATTTCCACAGCCTATTATAGTACACAGGCTCATGCACTGCTGCACATTTCCATCTGATGTCTGATGCCTGCATGTCACCTCTCTGATAGCTGCCACGGTGTTCTCCGGGGCGTCGTGGCTCCCTCCGCGGTGCGCCACCACCGGGACGCCGCCTGATGGAGCCCTGGGCCGGAGGACGCGGCCGGCCTGCTCCGCTGGCACCGGAGGAAAGCGGAACATCACCATGAAGACGTAGAGGAACGCGGTGAGGAGGGAGGCCCCGGTGGCGCTCCTCGTCCCCAACATCACCAACAGGAACACCGCCGAGAAATACACCACCTCGTCTCCGATCTGCAGCATGATGAACGAGGTGGGGGTGGAGGGCTGGATATCTATGTCACGACCGGACCGGAGGATGAGAGAATCGTTGTTTAGAAAGATGCCATGGATGGAGCTCTGCTGTCAGCGCTCAGGTGACTACATGGTGGAGGGTCAGACACACACACACACACACACACACACAAGACGCCCGAGAGTCAGCAGTTTAATCAGCAGTTTCACTTGGCGATTGTGCAGAGGATGGATGGATGGGAGGGAGGGAGGGAGGGAGGGAGGAGAGGTGATGCTACGCTGCTGTCATCAATGTCAAGTTTAAAACGTAAGAATATCTAGAAACATCCGGTCAGAACATTTAAAAAAAGACAATGGCCAACATATTTTAGTTTAAAAACAGCTTACAGGCTATAGGAGAAATGTGTAAAAAGGCTTCCACAATTTTTACAGTATCTACCCATCATTATAAGGCTACTACACAGAATTCAAACATGGTTTCATATTTAAGATTCAGATGTATTTTAATGTGATTTGTATTTAGACATCTCAATAGTTAGTCTGTTTTTTATAAATCAAAAAAGTACACTTTTATTTTGAAGAGAAAAATCACACAACCAGGCTTCCCTCAGACTCAGCACCATCTGGAGGCAGGAGTGTGAAGAGTCTGGGTGCAGGAATGAACAAGAGAGTGTGCATCACTAAAATGTGTCACTAATATTAAATATAACCACAGTGCATCAGAAATTTGTTTTCATTAAAACCAAACATCAGAACCAAAGGAATACAATAAAAAGGAACGAATGCAGATAAACTGGAACAAATGGAAAAGGAGACATTCTGCATTAAAAGGCACATTGAAAAGTTCACCTGAAGACATTAAAAACAATCAGCCATCTACTCACACAGTAGCTACACAGCGACTGAGTTTCATTTTAAATACTCCATTGTATTAATATTATCATTACGGTGTTATAGGTTGTTCATCAATGTCCACTGTACAGTTTAAGGTGCGAGAGTTGAACTGAAGCACAGACTTCACGTCACTCGGGACACTCCGGTGCCGTCTCTGTGGGCAGTGAGCTGATGTGCTCGAGCAGCTGGTCGCAGTACAGAGGACTCCGCTGCTTGTCTCTCACTGCCTCTACCTCTCTCTTCAGAAGGGCAGGGTTGACCGAGCTGCCTGTCTTCAGGACCTCTGGACACACGAAAGACACACAAAAAAAAAGGACAGGGGTCAGCACTCAGGATATGAAATTAAATAGGACTAGAAATACTCAACACTTACTACCAAAAAATAAATATCCTCTATGCAAAAGTTTTAACATGACAGACTGTTTGCTAGTGTCCTATGTTCAATAGTTTGACTGAAAGGAATAGTCCCACATTCTGGGAAATACACTCATTCATTTTCTTGCAGAGAGTTAGATGAGTAGATGATGCTAACCTCATGTGTTACTATTTCTTAGCTGGGAGCAGTCGCCACTGGTTGCCGAGCAACCCCACAATTACAACAAGACAAGAAATAACATAACACCCGTATCAGACCACCAAAAGCTATTTTTACATGTTGGTTTTCATATGAATTAAACAAACTGGATACGACATGTTAATTAGTGAGCTTTAGAAGTGCTGGTAGGTGGATTTTGTTACCGATGGACAGAGCCTAACTACAGCTGTTACCCCCTGTTTCTAAATCTTTATGAATACATTATCTGGCTGCAGCTGCATATTTACTGCCCAGATATGAGAGTGGTATTTATCTTCTCATCTCATCAAGAAAGTGAATAATCTTATTTCCCAAATTATTTCTTTGAGTTTAATTCTTCAGGAGACTTGAAAGTGATTTAGGTATTAAATTAAGTATAAAGTATCGAAGCTTGTGATCTTTAGTGTATCAAAGGGGTTGATGGTCTAATTATGCCTTTGATTGTCTTCTTTCATGTTGGTTTTGACAATCAATCAGGTTAATTTCTCTCCATGAAACGGTTTCTCTAGCAATCAAACATTCTGCAAAAAACTGTTTATTCAAATTCATTCAAGTTCACTATAGATTCACTATAGACCTTGAATGAAGTTTGTAGTTTGTACAGGTACAGGCAGATAGATACTCTCTCCTGATACGTGAAGATGAAACCATATTATCAACTATCTTATTGCTGCTGTTTACATTTCCCTAAACACATCTTCAAATAGGTTATTCTAATATAAATGATCTTTTCCTATGTGTTTAGCATTAAGGGACTGCAAACTTTCATTTTGTTGCACAACTTTGTGTTGAGTTACGAAACACATTTCCTTGATCCTGACATGTCGAAGTCAAAATGCAGTCAGGACGCCAGCAGATGGCAGCAATGAACTACACCACATCAACTCTGCAACTTACATACTGTATGAGTAAGCGCCCTTTGCTTCCACAAAGAGGCGGTAACTCTCTGTTCAAATCCTTTCCTCCCATCATTCCCATACCTGCTGATTTTCAGAGGTATATTGAATTACTTGAACTGCTGTCAATAACTAAATGCTTCAGAAACTACAATGCAAAAGTGCTGCTGCGGTGGTGACATGCCATCACATGCTGTCTGGATGAAACGCATCATCCGATACCTGCCTTTGTTCTTCAAGGAGATCGAGGGGAATTTTAGCTTTTGTGTATACTGTACTCTGCTGGGATGGAGGGACTTTGAATTGAAGCAGAACAATGATGACTTGTGAGAAGTGAGTTATACCCACGCCAACAGTCTGTGATTGAGCAGGTAGCAGCCGTGCTGCCAGGACAGTGGGATTATCTGGATGGAGGACGGGAAGACTGAGAGAAGGAGGGATGATGGGGGGTCGGGACATACTGCAGACATCAAGCCACTTCACAGATATGCGTTTGAAATTCAATAAGCATAAGAATGGGATCAACTATTAAAAGAAACGGAGAGATAGAGAGGAAGAAAGAGAGCAGGGAGTGGGGGGAAAAAACCCCAGAAAGCTTCAAACAGAGCCATGCATGACAGTGAAGAATGCTTCCACATTTGCGGTGCAGGCGGTTGTGGGTGCTGTCAGATACAGACGATCACTCAGCGAGATGTGAGGTCATCTCATTTCACAAAGAGACCCTGAGCTGTCTATCAATCTACTGTACATCATGGGGATCACTGTTTTAAGAACTGGGCTACGCACAATGGTTCATATTTGTATCTCTACACTGTACAGGGCCAGTATATGACACACTCTTTAAGGCTGATAAACAGTTAGAATTAACATTTTCAGACTTAATATTGAAGATATTGATAAAGAAGTATAAATTCTACAACTCTCCCTCAACAATATTGATCCGCGGTTTTGATGGTTACAACTTGATGACTAAGGTACACAGTATGTTAGTTGTGGGAGATGAATGTTTCAGATGGAATAATAAATGTATTCAGTTCGGTTTAGGGGGTTAGTGATTTTTATGGTAGGGGGACGTATGCTAAGAATCACACTGTTAGATCAAAGGACCACTGTGTTGTGGAAGGTCTAAGGCCTTGGGATGGGATTTACAAGGGGTACGGTTAGGAAGTAACCAGGTGATCTTGGAGATACTGGATGGTATACAAGATAGACCATTCTGGAAGTAGGGAGAGAACATTCTTGCTGAGGTCTTCTCTCCATGCCGCATGTAATAAAGTGTCTTGATTCATTACACCGGCCTGTAATTTCTTCAGAGAACTACCAACTCTCAATCTTTGGAAGAATTTCTCCCACATTAGCGACAGACAATTATGTTTGAAGGATAAGGCTGGCTGTATCTGTATTTATGTCTATTATATCTATATTTTGGTTACTGTCAAAAAATCCCACAAAAAGATAAAACCCAATAATAATTTCCTAAAACAGCTGGTTTTCAGCAAATGTTACTATTTTCAGCTGTACAATTCATGCTCTATGTAGTATTTACTGCAGCCGTACGGAGTGTGTGATCGACTCAAAATTAACTACAGTGGGCATGTTCATCATGTCACCCAGTGCAACTGTGTGGCTCATTATTTTTATTTTAACTGTGTATTGAACGACAACGGAGCGCCATGGCACAGACAAATAAGTTACATCAGGCTTAGGCTAACAGACAACACTTGTTAGGAGTATCAGTTCAATGTTGATTTGGTCTTTTCATGGGATTTGTCGACAATAAGAAAAAAATATAAACTATCTCCAGACTTATCCATTAACTAGTATCGGTTTTGGTGCGTAACGAATTGCCAGAGCGTGAGTTGAAGATAAATCACTGTAGCATATCCAGGATAGGTTGAGACAGCAAAGACATCTTTAAAAAGGCTCCCTTTCATGTTTAAACTGGAACATACAGAATTACAGTATAGTTTTTCAAAGAGAATCCTTCAGGAAATACAGACATACAGTATGTGAGCGAAGGCTGGTTCATAAAGTTGATTTACATGTGTTCTGCCTTCTGCATGCAATGTTACAGACACTTGATAACCAGTGGCAACAAAAAAATGCCTATTGTCCTTGGAAGGCTTTCAAAATCTTTCTTGCAGGGCTCGAATTCATGGTATGGAAGCTATTGCTGCATCTGGTATGTGTATGCCTTCTCTTCCTTTTTTTCCCCACTTTCCCTCTATGTCTAGCCGTACGAAGATGAGAGATCTCATAGCGAGGCCTCTCGTTGCTGGCTAAGGCATCAGCGCTCACCTGCGTCCTGTCAGAAGTAATGACAGCTAACATCCATGAGAGTGGGAGAGAGTGAAACTCCAGAAGAGCCGGGCCTCGGTTACACACTTCAGTAAAAGCCACTCAGAGTTTCCACTGATATAATCGATAAAATGCAGCCGTGAAGCTACGGGGCATCACAGAAAATGCTGGGTATGAGAGGAGGAAGTTAGATGGGCAGATAAAAGATGGAGGGATTAGGCAAGATGGGTGTGAGGACAGATGGGGAAATGTGGTGAAGGGAAGGGGTGCCCATGTGGTTGTCATTAGGTTGAAGGGGCAGAGATTAGCCACACAAACAGCAGTACAGCCCAGTGTACCCCAGGTGTACTGGAAGGGGGATTACTACAGATATTAGGGCTCACATATCAACCTGTAAAGTGTCTCTCTCAGGTGGGTTCTTATCCATATCTGGATCTCGTGTTTCACTCTTGAGGGCCACCTCCAGTCCTGAGGGCTTACTTTGGCAGGGCGGGGAATTGCTCGAGCGGTGATGAATTGTGTGGAAAAGAAGGATAACGGAGAGCTTTTGAAATAAAGGACGAGGGGAATCTGCTGGCAGCTTACCAGGCAATAATCTCATGTTTGATAGAGGATACCCCCCTAATTCCTCTCATCCATCTGCGAGTGTCTCTGACACAGCAGGCTGGTCTGCAGATCATCACAGCTAAACTGTGCTTTC